GGAAAGAATGTGACACGCTTAGACGAATATGCTTTTATCGTCTTCCAGAACAGGTATAAAATTAGCAATATATTGAAGTATTTTACACGCCAGACATACAGAAATCGCATTTAAGAATCGGATGTTGAGGAAGCATGTGTAAAAGTTATGTACACATTCAAATTTAAGAAATGTTTGTGTTAATTTCGAAAAAAAGATAAAATAAAGATAAAGAGACAGCTTCAATTTTAGAAAAAGGGCTGAAGAATACGAGTAAGTATCGGAAGTCGGTTTCTAACTCTTTATAAGTTCGTTACATGAAAAGCACAGTAAACAATTCTTCGAGAATTATGATAATACATTTATAAAGAGCTATATCTATGCTTTGTTTTAGTATTTGCAGTAATAAATACTTTTTGATGATAAACTATAAATAGATCTCGATAGGTTTTATGGTCAGTTTGTCAGCAGTAGTAATGTGCTTTTTGTTTCAACAGACCGATATGTACTGTCGTGTTCTTTGGCAAGGCACATAACCTTAATTACTCTGGATGGCATGCGGTGGGTCTCTCGTATGTTGTTCATTGTGGTACTATACTCATCGGCTATTACGTGGAGATCCCGCCTCAGAACGACGCTGGCTGTTCAGGGGCGACAAATTCAACAAACAAACTGGAGTTTGATTTGATCATGTCGTATCAATACATCCATTTCGTACATTTATAGTTTAAGGTAGTTTAGATTTTTTTGTTTTTGTTTGGAACAGCAAAACCACAATACACAATTTGATCGGTGACATCGTGATATCTGCCACTTGACTGAATGAAATATCCAACACATTGTGTTTATGTTGTAGTGCACTTGAGATGAATATAAAATCTTTTGGCTCTAGAACAGTCTTCGGCTGATGATCTCTCTGAGCCAGTCTCCTGTTGTTTTGTTGATCTCGAACTCTGGGACAGTCTTCTGTCGTAGTGTTGTTCTCGAACTCTGGGACAGTCTTCTCTCGTATTGATGTTCTCGAACTCTGGGACAGTCTTCTCTCGTATTGTTGTTCTCGAACTCTGGGACAGTCTTCTCTCGTATTGTTGTTCTCGAACTCTGGAACAGTCTTCTCTCGTATTGTTGTTCTCGAACTCTGGGACAGTCTTCTCTCGTATTGTTGTTCTCGAACTCTGGGACAGTCTTCTCTCGTATTGTTGTTCTCGAACTCTGGGACAGTCTTCTGTCGTATTGTTGTTCTCGAACTCTGGGACAGTCTTCTCTCGTATTGATGTTCTCGAACTCTGGGACAGTCTTCTCTCGTATTGTTGTTCTCGAACTCTGGGACAGTCTTCTCTCGTATTGTTGTTCTCGAACTCTGGAACAGTCTTCTCTCGTATTGTTGTTCTCGAACTCTGGGACAGTCTTCTCTCGTATTGTTGTTCTCGAACTCTGGGACAGTCTTCTCTCGTATTGTTGTTCTCGAACTCTGGGACAGTCTTCTCTCGTATTGTTCTCGAACTCTGGGACAGTCTTCTCTCGTATTGTTGTTCTCGAACTCTGGGACAGTCTTCTCTCGTATTGTTGTTCTCGAACTCTGGGACAGTCTTCTCTCGTATTGATGTTCTCGAACTCTAGGACAGTCTTCTGTCGTCTTGCTAATCTCGATATCTGGAAATGTTTTTTTGTCGTCTTGTTGATCTCAGACTCTGAGACAGTCTTCTGTCGTCTTGTTGATTTCAGACTCTAAGACAGTCTTCTGTTGTCTTGTTGATCTCAAGACTCTAGGACAGTCTTTTGTCGTGGTGTTGATCTCAGACTCTAGGACAGTCTTTTGTCGTAGTGTCGATCTCAGACTCTAAGACAGTCTTCTGTCGTAGTGTCGATCTCAGACTCTAAGACAGTCTTCTGTCGTAGTGTCGATCTCAGACTCTGACAGTCTTCTGTCGTGGTGTTGATCTTAGACTCTGAGACAGTCTTCTGTCGTAGTGTTGATCTCAGACTCTAAGACAGTCTTCTGTCGTAGTGTCGATCTCAGACTCTGGGACAGTCTTCAGTTTACGTGTTGATCTCAGACTCTAGGACAGTCTTCTGTCAAAGGCTTTAGTTTAAACATATTTTATTGCCAAAATAAATTTGAACAATGGATTTGGGCACAAGTTATTACAACTTATTGGAGCCCTCCCCATCATACATTTTCAAATACATGCTTATAAAGATATAGGCTTAAACATAAATTATACATATTTAGCATTCACACACAGACATAAATACATGTATAAGAATCTTTTAAATCCCTTTGCTGGATTTAATGAAATTTTGTACATGTCTAAAGACAAAATAGTTTAGGTCCTCAGAAAGATCAATACTACCAAACAAAAGAAGCTCTAAATTCAAATCTACGTCTAATTCAGCCAGATTATGAAAAAAAGTGCGTCTTTCATTTCTGAAAGTTTGACACTCAAAGAAGAAGTGAAAGGCATTCTCACAAGGATGTCCACAGGAGCAAACTGGATTTTCGACAAGATTTACTCGATAAAGATCGTATTTAAGGGAACTACAACTGTGTCTAAGTTTAGTATGCATTATGTTTAACTTCCGCTCACCATAACTAAAATAGACAGGTGGGGATTGTTGTGTATTTAAAGTAAGTGAGGTTTTAAACAAATTCATGGAAGGCAGTGACCGTACAGAGAAATCTAACAAGTTCCAGCTACGAAGCGTAGAAGGTATAAAAGAGAGGTTTGTAAGAGAAAGCCCAAATAGAGGAACTCTATAATCATTGTTATTTCTAAGACTGTATCGATTACTATCTGCAACAAATAGGTGGCAAGAGATCGTTTAAATAATCTGGAGTTAGCTTGTTATGCATTTTAAATCAAAGTTGAAGTTTTCTTCGTTTTCGACGATTCGAAAGTGTATCTAAACCAGTTTCAAAATGTAAATTTTCTACGTGCATAAGAAGGAAGGCCAGTTATAATACGAGCAGCTTCTCTTTGGGCTTTCTCCAATTTATCTGATTCAGTATTAGTGCAACCGTCCCACAATTCATACGCATACACTAAAATTGGTAAAATAAAAGCTTTGTAGATTTTTAGGAGACTATTTCTATTTAACAAATATTTCAACCTTCTTAAGACATTCATTGGAAAGGCTTTGTTGGAGCTCATCACAAAGCAAACATAATATCAGAATATCTGCCTTTGTCTCGTACTCATAACACAGCCTTGAATCTGTCTCCTGTACGGAAGCCCAGTTGTAACATACATTATGACATGTCAAACTGAACTATCCGTAGGGATAGTCACATACATAAAAAATCAACAGATCTCCTGTAGGGTGGCATAGCTGCGATATCAATATGGCCTTGATGTAGTCGACACACAGTCTATTTTTACAGTTCTGTAACAGAAGTTGATAACAGCAATACCAATATTCCTATGTTAGAAAAACAGACAAAATTATCAACTCTTTAAGGGTAACAGCATCTGAAATTGAAGATTGGGTAAGGTGTCTGATCATTACGAGATAAGGTACCATATGTTTAGATATACTGCACAGTCAGTTTCAAAACATGTTCAATTATTATTTACCTATTCAATTTCCATAAGAATCTTTCCTGACACGTGGAAGATACAATGCAGCTACAATGATGCTATTGTTTAAGAAAGTGGAAAGGCATTCTCTTACAAATGATATACTCATATCGTTACTATCTGAATTAGGCAAACGTTTTCGAGAGGGTAATATTTTATAAGCACACGAATGATCACGTGGAAAGCCTTGAGAACAGTAGACACGTTTGCTTTTCTGGAAAATGAAAACGTATGATCTGCCTGTACGTAGACACTGCTGATGAAATTATATTTACAAAATGTGCACAATTTCATTCAAAATAGCAATAGATTTCAAACTGCAGTCTTATCAATTTGTTTTCTGTTTTTTTGTTTTTTGTTTTTTGTTTTTTTTGTTTTTGTTTTGTTTTTATGAAATCCATGTAACTTCCCTGTATGTATATAACAATAGATTCATTATCTCTTTGTTTGCCAAGTGCTATAGTCTTAAACTTTTCAAAGGACTTATAACCTGTGATAATTTGTGTCCAATCAAACTGGTGATTACCATGACTATAAAACATGTTTGAAACTAATGGAAATAAATCTCTGACTGTGATTATGATGACTGATTAAAGATAAGCATTGCCTTTAGAATTCGATCCCTAAAATCTTTAACCTTCCTGCATTTTTAACTATATAGACTAATATATATTCCACAACTGTAGTACAACCTCTGTGACTCTGAAAGGGACTGACATACATTATGAAAAGTATTCCAAAATCTAATTTAAAGTCTAGATATATTGTCTGCTGCTTTATTTATTCTTTACGGTTACATTACATGAACAAATATTTGTTTATGGTAAGTATATAAAGCTAACTTTATTTATTTATTTTTCTATCTATCTATTTATTTATTTATTTATTTATTTATTTATTTATTTATTTATTTATTTATTTATTTATTTATTTTAACATCCACCATTTACGAAATTTCAGCCTTTCGGTAGACGAGGTAAAGATGATAACCATGCTGTTCTGCATATAAAACCGTTTAAATCATTTAATGTCAATTCATCAATCTACTAATAATATACTATAATACTGATGTAGATTTTCGACGTCAAGTAATAGAACCCATCTGAAAACGTAGTAGTAGGTCATATACACTCAGGACAAAGGGACTTTGGGTTATAGATCTATACATTTATTGCAACCCGAATCGAAATGTCATAGTTTAAAAAAAATCATCACAAAATGTAAATTTTCGACAGTTTTGAGCATTTAGATCTCTCATATACACTTTAAAGACGCTATATATTCCAGAAACTTATTTTAGATACTGTAATGTGAACGTTTCAGACGATACACTTTGAACAGACAGGGAGATGTAAGAGTTATCTCTCTTCTGCCGCTCCGACTTTTGACCTACCGGAAGTAGGAAAATCCTACTTTCATTTCCACGACGTCGACGTAAACATTGAACAATGCTGCTGCAATAAAATAGAGCTGCTTGTCATATTTAACTTCAATTGCCGTTCATCATACATTTTTCTGACAGACAGAAACACCACATGCGTATATTATTGTGAGTATCATTGAAACTGACCTATATTTAACACTATTATCAGTAATATTTTATTCGTTAAGCTATGTCGAATTCGTCAACATCACATGACGGTTATCGACATAGCTCATTGTCATGCTTTGATTTGAATCTCGTGTGTATGAGCAGCACAGATATTTTGCCACTCCAATATACCTATGTCAACATATATTATCCTTATCATGATGATAATATCCTTTATATATGCTGAGACAGAACAATACCCGGAATAAACTCCTATAAGGTACGCAACGCTGAAGTGCAAATATATGTAACAGAATAACACGATGTCGGATTTACGAAATTTTCAAGTTCAAGAAAGGAGTTCCAAAGCTGAGGAGCCAGTAAGGAGAAAATATGCATCAGGTGCATTTATAGTGTTATGATGCATGCTTTGGTTTTTTTTTATTTATTTATTTATCAATTGATAATTAACTATCATTGTTTAAAGCGGTGTGTATTGTACCATTGGTTTAGATGCATTGTACATTATGTAAATCTCTAAGTCCGCAATTGTACATTTTTCATGAGAGAAACCTGAATCTTGAAATTCTATTAAAAGACATGTTAAATTTTACAAAGTATCGGTGCAAATTTGCTTATTTGAAACAAAGACTTGTATCTAAGTCTGTGTTTGACCTTATGCGATTGCTTAATTTACACAATATAGAAGCAGAGAGGATCTTCATGTATTGCATTGGAAGGAAAATGTTTGACTGGAAGACTCATGTAAATTGAATTACACATACTGTGTATCATCTGTAATGTTTGATATTGTTGACAGGGATACTAGATAAAGTCAGATACGGTAATTTCTTGTTACAAGTAGTTAGGTGAAGTAATGTTAGAGAAGGTACTGTAAAAGACTAGGTCACCTAATTACATAGCTTCGGCTAGAGGGAATTTCCCTTTAGTCATGTGGTAGAATGTCCAGCCAGAGACCAAAAGGGTCGCTAGGTCGAACCCCAGCAATGGCAGGGTATTTTTCATTACTCCTTCCTAATTACAGCTTTGGAGCACTGACCACTCCAAGGGTAGAATCTAAAGGAGATAGAGATGGATAAATTGAACTTGTTGTCTTCAATGTCAAAGACTTTGTGAAGAAGGGAGTAGTGTACTAGATCTGGAATTTCATTGGACATGGATACCTTGGCCAATTAACTCAATATATGACCATTTTTCATTGCATGTGTGCTGACAGAGAAGTTGTAGGTGTGTTGGGGAGGAGGGCGGGGTGGAAGGGGGTTGGACTGGGATATAGCTTAAACAACTTACTTTAAGCATTTTGTGGTTATCGGTATGTTGACTGTTGTATGTAAGGACTGTGTGTTTGGGCTTCAATATCTTATACAATAAGTCTTGACATTTTCTCATTAAGGTGATTCATGGCATTTCCCAGTAACAGGTGTTTTAACTGAAAAGATGCAGGCATGTGGGAGTGGGCTGGGGTACCTTAAACAATCAACGCCTGATATTTTTCTCATTAAGGTGTTTTAAGAGAGGAGATTTAGATGTAATGGAGTGGGCTGGGGTACCTATGATAATAGATTCCTCATATATCTTGTTACAGGTGTTTTAACTGAGAAGATGCAGGTATGTGGGAGTGGCCTGGGGTACCTCCCCATCTGTTTGGTACTGGTATCTATTGGAACATTCGTCGGATCCTACATCATAGCCATCCTCAACAAAGACATTGCACCATACTTTCCTTATATCAGGTATGTAATAGAAGACTTTAGTGTACGCTTGTGTGATAGTTACATATGGAGTAAACAGATGCATCTAAACCCATATTATCAGAACTTCCATCTGACATTGCATTTTCACAAATTATCAACTATACCAATTATTACTACAAACTGACAAAACTTATTCAGAGTATATTGAAAAAGCAATGATTCCTATATTCTGTTAAATCATTTTCATGCAGTCATCATGTTCTTTTAGTCAGTTTTCATATTTGTTTCAAATTTCAATACTTCCTTTAATGTTTTCTTGATATAATCAACTAATGATTTGGTAATAAACGTATAGTCAGATATCAAAATGATAGCTTAGCTGTAGATGATATCAATAGAAGAAAAATGATCTATGATAAATCATAATCTATTTTACTATGGAATTCTAGTGGCGGATAATGAACGCCGTTTCTGTCAATGTTAGCTACATATATGCATTATTTGTAATGTTTTACAATTATCTCCTGAATTTCCCCACGCCCACCCCCCCCCCCCCCCCCCCCACACCCCACCCCCCCAGAATGTTCATTTTTAAAACAAAACAAAGAAAAATAAGAAAAGGAAATCAAAAAAAAAAAAAAAAAAATAGTCAGTCTCTCCATATTGATGAATTTTTTTTTTTAAATAGAGCCTACACAATGTGTTATTCTCAGTAATATTTCACTGTCTAGTGTTGTTAAAAAGAACAATACATGTATTGCAAAATAAGTTAAATACATCATTAGTTAGACCATCAATGATACTGCTTCTCTCCAATGGTAATTATATTGCTTCTTTTTCACCTCTAAAAAATATCAAGGAAGAAAATTGAAAAATAAACGGCTATTACGTTAGATTAAATCACACAAGTATGAATACAAATTATCAAGCATCAATTATTTGATAATTTAGAATGTGATTTATTTCTCATAAAGTGACACAGGAACAAAGCCTCCAGAGAGCTGTATATTTGGGCAATTCCTAAACATTGCTGCAACCATAGGTAAGAGTTATCTCCCTTCTAGCATTGTTGAAAACCTGGATATGGATATTATTTTCTTTCAGTGTTGTAGCTGTTATGCTAAGGCAAAAATGTTTTATGAAATGAAGTACCATATTTATTTGGCAATAAGCCTTACAGTGATATCAATTGATGTTCACCACAAACACAGACTTTTGAGTTAGAGGTCATGTTGTAGCCCCCACATATTGGGGGCCTTTATGATATGTTTTGTCAAATAAATATCCGGTTTGCAAGACTCAGAGGAAATATCAAGCACAATCATCAACAATTTTGCATCACCTGTTTTTAAGATTGCTTTCCAAATCGTAACATTTAATATCTTTATCCTTTTCATCTCTCTTTGATCTTCCCTGTCCTGTCATACTATCCTTCTGTTTCGTTTTTGACAAGTTCTTGACTACGGTTGTAATCCAAACACAGCTTAAGTACAATGACAATGAGGAATGAGACTGTTGGTTGTATTTACAGCTTTTTGTACGATGTACGTTCGTTACAAGTTGGTGGAGAGTTTGACAGGACATGAGGATGGCCGACTACGAAGACTAAATAAAGCAGGCCTTGTACTCGGAATTCTCAGTTCTCTCGGGTTAAGCATTGTTGCCAATTTTCAGGTAAGATACTGAAAATTATAATTTCATGTAATTTGCATAAGTTTTCTTAATACATAGTGTAAATTTTACAGGTGTGTATGAATTGAATAACTGGAACACTGACAGTAAGTATATAAGTAATCTGATATGAATCTAGGTTCAGGAGATAGGATGCTGTGTTTCACTATTTCACTTTTACCCAAATCTTCATCATTGGTATTTCTTAGAATGCTGGTGCTTGTGTTATGTCGTGGAGGCTACACCTGGCCTGATATTTCATGCTTGATTGGCTTCATTTTGGACTTGTTTTAAATACTGTGATCATCTCTTACTAACAAACATTTTGTTAAGATATATTTTGAACCGAAGTTGGCTTTAACTGGTTGATATTTTACTATGACATTATGAAGCAAATTTTTTAGGAATCACCCTGCATGTAACTTATCAGGGGCAGAGTTAACAGAATGTTTAAATAATCAGGATAGATGGTGAAAATACTCAAGGTCATGGGGTCAGATGTCAAGTTTAAATTTTGTATTTCAAAACTGAAAAAAATATTTCTGTATGATGCCATGAAACAAACTTATTGATAGACAAACTAATGATATATCCAAAAATTTAGGTCATCAGGATTGAGGTCAAGGTCATCTTTGTGTGGTTTAATTGGTTCATATTTCATTAGGGTGTTATGAGGGTAAGTTGATTTATGCAAAAAATGAACCGAAAAATTATCAAGGTCACCAGCTCAAATTCTTATGTGGCGGACATCTTCAAAATTTCTATCAAAAGTCTCTCGATGGTTACTTAGTTTCTGCTTAAAGTGATATCGGTCACATTTTATGTGCCATTTGCTCAGAGTTGTCTTCCATTACTGATGTTTGACGTTGTGTTGAGGAGGAAAAGTGAACCAAAATGACCTTATGATTCCCCTGTTTTGATTTTAGTGCTTATCTCTCAATAAGTTCATTCCAAATTACATAAGTATAAGCTTATTCAAATATATCAGATATTGTTCATTAGAATTTAAACATGTTTTTTTCATTTTCCATGTAATAAGCCCACCCTTTACCTATGAGGTTATGTGTTGGCCCCAGGTGTCCTGTAATAAGCCCACCCTTTACCTATGAGGTACTGTGTTGGCCCCTGGTGTCCTGTAATAAGCCCACCCTTTACCTATTACGTTATGTGTTGGCCCCTGGTGTCCTGTAATAAGCCCACCCTTTACCTATGAGGTACTGTGTTGGCCCCAGGTGTCCTGTAATAAGCCCACCCTTTACCTATGAGGTACTGTGTTGGCCCCAGGTGTCCTGTAATAAGCCCACCCTTTACCTATGAGGTTATGTGTTGGCCCCTGGTGTCCTGTAATAAGCCCATATTTTACCTATGAGGTTATGTGTTGGCCCCAGGTGTCCTGTAATAAGCCCACCCTTTACCTATGAGGTTATGTGTTGGCCCCTGGTGTCCTGTAATAAGCCCACCCTTTACCTATTACGTTATGTGTTGGCCCCTGGTGTCCTGTAATAAGCCCACCCTTTACCTATTACGTTATGTGTTGGCCCCAGGTGTCCTGTAATAAGCCCACCCTTTACCTATTACGTTATGTGTTAGCCCCAGGTGTCCTGTAATAAGCCCACCCTTTACCTATGAGGTACTGTGTTGGCCCCAGGTGTCCTGTAATAAGCCCTCCTTTTACCTATGAGGTACTGTGTTGGGCTCTTGTGTCCTGTAATAAGCCCATATTTTACCTATGAGGTTATGTGTTGGCCCCAGGTGTCCTGTAATAAGCCCACCTTTTACCTATGAGGTACTGTGTTGGGCTCTTGTGTCCTGTAATAAGCCCACCCTTTACCTATGAGGTTATGTGTTGGCCCCTGGTGTCCTGTAATAAGCCCACCCTTTACCTATTACGTTATGTGTTGGCCCCTGGTGTCCTGTAATAAGCCCACCCTTTACCTATTACGTTATGTGTTGGCCCCTGGTGTCCTGTAATAAGCCCACCCTTTACCTATTACGTTATGTGTTGGCCCCTGGTGTCCTGTAATAAGCCCACCCTTTACCTATTACGTTATGTGTTGGCCCCAGGTGTCCTGTAATAAGCCCACCCTTTACCTATTACGTTATGTGTTGGCCCCAGGTGTCCTGTAATAAGCCCACCCTTTACCTATTACGTTATGTGTTGGCCCCTTGTGTCCAGTAATAAGCCCACCCTTTACCTATTAGGTTATGTGTTAGACCCTTGTGTCCAGTAATAAGCCCACCCTTTACCTATGAGGTTATGTGTTAGACCCTTGTGTCCAGTAATAAGCCCACCCTTTACCTATGAGGTTATGTGTTAGACCCTTGTGTCCAGTAATAAGCCCACCCTTTACCTATTAGGTTATGTGTTAGACCCTTGTGTCCAGTAATAAGCCCACCCTTTACCTATTAGGTTATGTGTTGGCCCCAGGTGTCCTGTAATAAGCCCTCCTTTTACCTATGAGGTACTGTGTTGGGCTCTTGTGTCCTGTAATAAGCCCATATTTTACCTATGAGGTACTGTGTTAGCCCCTTGTGTCCTGTAATAAGCCCATATTTTACCTATTAGGTTATGTGTTAGACCCTTGTGTCCAGTAATAAGCCCACCCTTTACCTATTAGGTTATGTGTTAGCCCATTGTGTCCTGTAATAAGCCCACCCTATACTATGAGGTTATGTTTTGGCCTCTGGGCTTATTGTAGGATAAATAAGATAGTTAACTTAAGTAATGAAAATCTTTAAGAAATATGTATATAATCATATGACACTTTCCAATGTTAAAGTATCATTAATATATCAATATATACATGTATATAAACATCTGTAAGTATTACCTATAGAAAGACCAACATGATTGCTTTGGCATTTAATTTTCTTTGTGTATCTGGTAGGAAACTGTTGTTGAACCAGTCCATCTGACGGGAGCAAGTCTTGTACTAGGCTGTGGAGTCCTTTACGAATTCGTCCAAACTTTTCTTACCTACCATATGCATCCAGAATTCAACGGACAATCTATTGCACGCGTGCGACTGGCTTTATCTATAACCTCAGCGATCAGCATGGTGATGGGTATCCTTTGTTTTCTGTGTCATCAATTTGTCCTTCATGCGATTAATTTTCAGACACAAGTTACTATGATGCCAAAAATCATGGCTACAAAAATACTAAGGATTGAAAATTTAAAAAGAAAATTATTCAAATGATTTTGATTGATTTTTATCATAATTTTTATAATTTGTTGAAAATTGAGTCAAACACCTGATTACAGAGTGTGTAATTTGCCAAATAAGACGTGATGCCAGAATACTTCGTCACCAGATTAGGTCAGATGTCAACATATCCAGGGGTCAGATTGGACAGAATTTCATAATTTTCAGGAGTCAGATTGGGTAGATTATTAGAAGAATCAGGTGTTAGATTAGACAGATGCCAGAATTGTCAAGGGTGATTTTAGACAGAATGTCAGAAATCGTAGAAGTAAGGTTTGTGGTGATGTCTGATTACCTAACTTCAGATTAGACAGTTGAAAAAGAACTTTCAGGGATACGATCAGACATGTTTTTAAATTTAGGGGGTGAGAACAAGATGTATCAATACTAAAACAAATCAGACACACCATGGTAATAATCAGGGGTCAGATTATAATGGATGTCATGATACTCAGGGTCTGATAAGAAAGGGTAAATGGAAACATCTTTAGACTAAACAGCAAGGGAGATAACTCAGTTTGGAAAAGTATACAACTATCAGTTAATAAATTCCTTAACTCAGAACAGCATTTACTGCAGCGGGAATATCAAGATATCAAACTGACACAAAAGACAAACTACACTGGAAACCATCTGAGAAGGTGAGTATGTTTGTGAATTTTCTCTTAGTTTTCAAGAGTTTTAAGTGTTACCTGTTGTAGACTATTGTACAGAGGTATATGTCAGGAATGAAACATAAACTTTTTAACTGTTATTTTGTGAACACAGATTTTGGAATGAGAAAGTCTTATGATGTTTCTTTTATACAGAGTTTATCTTTACTGTGTATAGTTGAAAACTAAAAAAGGGATAACTCTGAAAGCCTTAGAAATTTTATAAAGGGACTGGAGTAAATCAATTTTAATTTTAACATAAGAAATTCTGTACTTAGTTAAGGTATAGCTTTTAAGACTGCCTACCATTTGAAAAGATTGTACTTCAAATTCAGGACATTTTATCTTTACTTATACTTGAATGTAGTATTAAATTTATCTAATCTAACAGGTTAGGATTTAGCAGTTGTTCAGGTTGCTAACTATATTTCGTAGCATAGTTGATAGGGATTCAAGATTAGGCTGTGTGGAATACTCTAGATAAAATATTCCCAGCGATTTTAAAATTAATTATTTGTTTTTCGCTTACAGGGTTTTGATGCTCATATTGTGAGTACAATATCAGAGTGGATAACGGCTGTGGTATTTCTTTTCTTCTTCTTCACCTATGTCAGAGACTTTCAGAAAGTGCGCGTTGAAGTTAACGCTAAACTCAGCGTGAGACATTTGGACGAACAGCCATTATATATACCGGATGAAAGGTCGCCACTGCTTGCATAGAAAGTTCTGTAAGGACGGTGGATGGTAAAGGTGCATATACATGGCTGTTTTTTCTGCAAATTAATTACAGGAAAAAAATGTTAAAAAAAAAATTAATCAAATTTTTAAGAAAATTTATCAACTACACAAATTCTGCACATTTTACAAAGTTGCAAAGGGAAAAATACTTTTGTATAGATTTATTTATTTATTTTTTCTGGTGACATGTGAGAGGTTAATTTGGAAAGCAGAGGGGATTGATAGAAAACAGGTACTTGTAGAGTTTTGGATTATGAATATGATTAACTTATGTTGGTAGTCATTTTAAATACTTACATTAGTTATGTTGAATCTCTTCAACTGATATCTCTTAAAAATATGTATCAGACTTATGGGAAAGTTATATCAATGTGTTTGTAATGAATGAAATCACTGGTAATGAAAAGGAGACCAAACGTCTAATATAGATATATGACATAATGTCTGTAAAATTTGAAAATAATTTCAGTTTTTGGCAAACAAAGAAGACAAAAGAGTTTTCAATTACAAAAATACAAAGACATATTTGCATGAATGTCTTGTGCGTGTTTTATGAATCAGTCTGGTGTCAATTTACATAGATAAAATATATGTATTACATCTCATTTCATTTTGTTTTCTGCTTGGTTCCATAGAACAGTGTATAGAAAACTTAAGGAAATGTAGGATCCTGTTACAATTGTATATATATAACTATGATATATGTAACTTTGATATGTATCTGTGACATTTTAGATCTGATAAACGATGGAGCCTGTAAAACCGAGGGACCTATGTTGGGTTCATTCATTCTCTTTCATATAATAGTGTTATCTGAAAGTATGACTCTCCATAATATTCAGCAAAGACGACTTAGTAAAAACTGTAAAATCATAAATTTTACTGGGCAGTTAGTTTCATTTAATTCATGGATGCTGTATTTCCACAAAATATTAAATAGATTAAAATAGACATGGATTATAGTACGATGGATTTTATGAGCAAGATTTATTCAGAAACCAGGTGCCAAAAGAATTGTCTATTTTTGAAAATCCATGAAATGTGTTAGTCCCCACAAAATCTATGATTTTACAGTATCTGGTGGTCTAAAAATTCATTCTGTAATTCAATAAATTTGTGTTATGGCCAAATGGTGTTATATTGCTGTACTATTCAATATTCTGCTTACAAATTTCAAAGGGCATCAATCGTGAAATCAGATTTCAGATACAAAACTCACACTATCTGCAATCTTACCTGTGTGTTAAAGTTTCACCATAATTCATAACATGCCTTTGTCATTCAACAATATATTTTTTATAAAATGAAATACATGTTTACAATATGGTGACTAAATTTTTATTTTTCTTATCATTTCACAAAAGAAAATCATTATATGTTTGTGTTAACAATGATTTCACCAAAGAAAAAAAAATTTCTGCTAGCAGTACTAGGGATAGTGATGACTTATCTAGTTTACATATTTTCAATACCGTTAATTTTCGGTAGATTTTACTTCAGAATTTGTTGATGTTTAAACAAAAATGATAATAGTTCATAAATACTTATCCTGTCTGTAGATCGTTAGAATCATTTATAAAATGAATGTATTATTCTGGAAAAAAAAAAATTTCACTTATCATTTTGGAAGTCAAATGTTTCACTATTTTAATGCTGATTACTCTATATTTTTAATGTTGCATGTGTTAGGATCTGGATTTAGGACATCATATCATGAATATTAATTAGAGAATAAAATTAAGTAATTATGTAAAAACAAATGTTGTCATAATAACAAAGCTCTTTTTCACATTAGAACTAGCTGTTTTTTTAATTTGGTTTTTTATTTTCATTTTTCTCTCAAAGAAAGAACAACAGTACCATCTTGAATCTAGGTCTAATATTTGTCTAACCTAAAATTTGTTTCAATTTGTACTCTTCACAGCACATTAACATAATATAATACTTTTATCTGTACTTGGCACAAAGACATCTTCCATCTTTCCGAGATGTCATATTGTTTCTTTTCTTGCATTTGACTAGTCTACAGGAAATCAGGAGACTGCATTTTGAATCTGGATAGATGTATGTAAATATTTTTACCAGCAAGATAATCCACAGTAAAACCATGTTTTGTAGAGGTTTTTTTATTTCGAGTCTATATTTTGAAATAAACAAATGAATTAGAATATCTAATAGTGGCATTAAATATTTACATATGATGAAAGAAACATTTTTTGAAAGTATTATCGTTTTACAATATTTATTGAAAATTCAGTTATTTATTTAAATATTTAATGTTTTGATATCAGACATGATTAATGATAAAAAATTGAGACAAAAGTTAACATCATCAAGTATTTTGTTGTTTTCTGGTTTTTGATTTCAGTGTAAACAAGGTCATCAAGACATCTCTACTGTATCATTAATGTTTATGTACAAATGTTTTAAACAATCATGTTGTATATAATGTTAGTTTTAAGCAGATTTCTGTGTGGATTTTTGTTACACGATAAATTGTGATGATTATTTAGAGTATCATGTAAACATTTTGTGATAATGAATTTGTGATAAATTATGTCTTCATCATAATGTCATTTTTCTTTTTCTTTGTTTGTTATACGTGTGTGTTGTGTGTTTTGTTTATATGTAAACTGATGAGAGTTATTCCAACATCATTCCAGATAAAAATCAAGTCAAATTTTCAATGTAACATTGATTAAATATTACGGTTATATTGGATTTATATCAACTTCATATTAAGTCAGCGTTATGGTTATGGCGGAAGTTGCCACGACAGCTAAGTTAGTAGAGCGTCCAATGGGCTTAGTTCGATACTCCCAGCCGCGGCACAGGTTCTTTGGCTAAACACTTTACTCTAATAGTTCTGAATGGCACGTGACGGGCCTTCCATATACCGTTCAATGAGGTAGCCACTAGTTATTACAAGGATGTCTCGTCTCAAAATGACTCTGGTTGTTCATGGGGCGGTAAACCCAACAAGCAAAGAAATCTACACGTCTTTATGAAAACCTTCAAATTCAATTGGTAAAATAGATATGAAATAGACATCTTACTAATGTATATATTTATCAACGTTGAATTAGTTGGCAGTTTACAGCGTTAGATTAAATAGATCTGTATCGATCCCATATTAAATACATGGTAGATGTTAGCGTCGTATTATAAAGTTGTCAACGTCAGAGCTTCATTTTAGAAAAAAAATGTCAATAGGTTGTTGCTTACTTTATGATAGATATTTGTCAACGTCAAATCTTGAGATTTAATATATATATAAACGCCATATTTAATAGGTGTCAGACATTTTGATATTGTATTATCGACGCCATATTAACGTGGAACAGATTTATATTTAAAAAAAGGGTCAACGACATATAAGTATCAACGTCATATTAACATGAAATATTATAGTATCAACGTCATATCAAATAGGTGTAATTGTTATAAGATTTCAACGTTATATCGATAAGAAACAACATACTATTTGTAAAGTACATTATCTCTGCTGAAACTTACATAGATTCCTATATCGTTTGTTTATTCCATAGGTTTTTTGTTTGTTTTTTTAATGTATTTATACTTCAATATTGAAAAAAATGATAATATATCAGTAATTTCAAATATGTAAAATGTATATGTAAATGGTTCCTTTCGGCGCAGCATCTTGCCATTGCACGAGTTTGATATGATAGTATGACTGGGTTTTATATGTACAATTACTGCTTTCTGGGAAATATTCAGAATCTGATATTTTGCCTTAAAATGTTTAGGATTTACAAAATGATTTTTAAAATTTTCTTAAATTAAACTTTAACCGTTTTACAACAATTTCAAAATAAATTATTCGAACTTATATTATTCGGCCTTTTTGACCCGTATGAAAGCACGCGAAGCGTATTACTGTAGGATTAAACGGGAGACCCGGGGAGAGTCGACATGGTGACTCTACCTTTTCACTTCCGTTCAGGGAATCGAACCCTAGACGTCTAGGTGAAAGGCTTGTGAGTTACTACTGCACCAACCGATCATTCGGTTTATTGATAAAATAATCAAAGATCACGTTTTTACCTCTTTTCATTGGTATGGAATTGGATAAAGTAATATATATCAATATCTGTTTCATCCATTTCACGACCTTGATTTGTTTGTCGTTGGTTTACAAAACCGATGTAATTTGTTTTGTACAAATATTATTCTACTTTGGGTTGTGGTTTCAAAGTATCTGTCTTCGTCTCCAATTGTCACGTGTTTTGTTGATAAATAAATGAATAAAAAAGCTGATGTACAAAATGTTGTAGTTTAAGTATTTTCTATGCACACTATTTAGCATGAAACTTTTTCGCACACATTCGTTCTCTGTTTCAATAATTTTGCCCAACTGTTTTTTTAGACAAAACTATGGCAGCACACCTAGAAAAGGATTGCAATCAATAGTAATTTTTAGATTAGATGTATTCAGAAATCACGATTAAAGGTTGACGTCATTATATTAATTATTTTTTACCACCTAGCAGCCAATCATATGTCCTTAACTATAAATTACATACAGATTCTTTGCATAAATCTAGACAGAGAAACACTTACTGCCTTTCGTTCTTTCTTTATTTCTGGTTAACATTGTTGCTGTTTTCCTAAAACATTGATCTAAATGATTGTGTTTAAAATGAAATTATTTAACAGAAATTTAATTGTTTATTGATTTTGATTTTCGTGGTATCGATTTTTCCGAGTGTCTAATAATAACGAAAAGCAGAACCCAAGAAAACACCATTTACAAAATACAGTGCGTAAACTATAGGGAAAAAGCTGTCAGGACAGTTACCTTAAAATCACAGTGTTACACAAATAAGTCAGTGATATAACTTTGTAACGACACGTGGCGCATATGTATTTATTTACCGAATCAGCCCGGACACTTAACATTGACAAACAGCAGAATTAACCTTTCTCGTTCATTCAGATAAAAATCGTATTTTTATCATGTAAGTTATCTGTTCTGTACCTGTAACTACAGTTTGGAGAAGAGTCAGTTATTGCAAATAAGCGTGCTATAAACTATATTCGTTGATGCTATACTCTACCTTCGTTTAGAAATCAGTTTCACAATTAAATGTTCAGACATAAGTATAACTGTA